ACGTGCAATTGTGTGCTGTTTCTATCAGAATAAATCTCCATGACTGGTGCTACAAGTTGGAGTCCGTGTCGATGATTGTACACAACTTAAGAAGAGTCTAGCTAGCATTCCTAACATATCAAACGTTTAGCAAATTCATTACATATAACATGAATTGTAATTCGTAACATATCATACGAAATGGGTGATGGATATTCACAAATTAATATACAGTCGTGGTCAAAAGTTTTGAGAATGACACAAGTATTGGTCTTCACAAAGTTCGCTACTTCAGTGTTATGAGATATATTTGTCAGATGTTACTATGGTATACTGAAGTATAATTACAAGAATTCCATAAGTGTCAAAGGCTTTTATTGACAATTACATTAAGTTTATGCAGAGAGTCAATATTTGCAGTGTTGACCCTTCTTTTTCAAGACCTCTGCAATCCGCCCTGGCATGCTGTCAATTAACTTCTGGGCCACATCCTGACTAATGGCAGCCCATTCTTGCATAATCAATGCTTGGAGTTTGTCAGAATTTGTGGGTTTTTGTTTGTCCACCCGCCTCTTGAGGATCGACCACAAGTTCTCAATGGGATTAAGGTCTGGGGAGTTTGCTGGCCATGGACCCAAAATGTTGATGTTTTGTTCCCCGAGCCGAGTTATCACTTTTGCCTTATGGCAAGGTGCTCCATCATGCTGGAAAAGGCATTGGTCGTCACCAAACTGTTCTTGGATGGTTGGGAGAAGTTGCTCTCGGAGGATGTGTTGGTACCATTCTTTATTCATGGCTGTGTTCTTAGGCAAAATTGTGAGTGAGCCCACTCCCTTGGCTGAGAAGCAACCCCACACATTAATTGTATCAGGATGCTTTACTGTTGGCATGACACAGAACTGATGGTAGCGCTCACCTTGTCTTCTCCGGACAAGCTGTTTTCCGGATGCCCCAAACAATCGGAATGGGGATTCATCAGAGAAAATTACTTTACCCCAGTCCTCAGCAGTCCAATCCCTGTACCTTTTGCGGAATATCAGTCTGTCCCTGATGTTTTTCCTGGAGAGAAGTGGCTTCTTTGCTGCCCTTCTTGACACCAGGACATCCTCCAAAAGTATTCGCCTCACTGTGCGTGCAGATGCACTCATACCTGCCTGCTGCCATTCCTGAGCAAGCTCTGCACTGGTGGTGCCCCGATCCCGCAGCTGAATCAACTTTAGGAGACGGTCCTGGCGCTTGCTGGACTTTCTTGGGCGCCCTGACACCTTCTTCACAACAATTGAACCTCTCTCCTTGAAGTTCTTGATGATCCGATAAATGGTTGATTGAGGTGCAATCTTACTAGCAGCAATATCCTTGCCTGTGAAGCCCTTTTTGTGCAAAGTAATGATGACGGCATGTGTTTCCTTGCAGGTAACCATGGTTAACAGAGGAAGAACAATGATTTCAAGCACCACCCTCCTTTTAAAGCTTCCAGTCTGTTATTCTAACTCAATCAGCATGACAGAGTGATCTCCAGCCTTGTCCTCGTCAACACTCTCACCTGTGTTAACGAGAGAATCACTGACATGATGGCAGCTGGTCCTTTTGTGGCAGGGCTGAAATGCAGTGGAAATGTTTTTTTGGGATTAAGTTCATTTTCATGGCAAAGAGGGACTTTGCAATTAATTGCAATTCATCTGATCACTCTTCATGACATTCTGGAGTATATGCAAATTGCCATCATCAAAACTGAGGCAGCAGACTTTGTGAAAATTAGTATTTGTGTCATTCTCAAAACATTTGACCGCGACTGTATACCATACCAAACGTAACATACAGTATCATACTAAATGGAGTATCTCAGATTTACATACATAATAATATTAAATGCTCTGAGACTAGGTTGCAGCCTAAGCACAGAGCTCCTGTAAATGTGTACATATTTCGTTATTTTTTAGGTGTTTTTAATTGTTGATTTTTAAATCAGCGCTTTAGATTATGATGTGGAAAATAATCACTATACTTTATTAAAAATCAAATTTCTTCCAGAGTTTTTGTAAAATCAAGATTTGACTTTATTTACAATTCAACAAAGCCAGGCTAGTCTGCAGAGTATCCCCCTTCTCTCTTTCTGCTCCCCATCTATATAGTCCCATTCACACAAATCGTAGCTTAAAATCCCTCCCTCTTCAGTTTCCCGCTCTCTATCGCTCCGCCCACTTCCTTTGTCTATGATGAAGGCTAAATTCGACTGTCATTCAGTTTAGAAACAATATTATTACAATCAATCACGCCCTTGTCATGCTAAAACACTCATGTTCAGTTTAAACTCTGTTCAACCCCGGCTCTCCCGGGCTTGACCTGAAGACTGATTGTTGGACATGACAGGTCCATACTTAATCTTTCAAACATACACAAACCCCACCCCATCATGCTGTAATCAATCAAGAAGATAGCCAAGGAGAGACAAAGATTTAGCCTGAACTCTGTTCAACCCTGGCGCCGCTCTTTCCACTTTGTTTTAGGAGAGAGGCAAAAGGCCACAGTCTGGTTTCAGTCTCTGATAAGGTAGGACAGCCATGGATTTAGGTAAGAGCGAGCAATTCGACCCTAGGTCAGATTCCTACTTCACACACACAGTGAAATGACCCAATTAAGTTATTGCCTAGCAACAGAGAATTCTAACTATATGTTCGTGATTAACTCAGTTTTATCTCATAGTCCACTAAAAAATCTCCCTAATTGTTCAATATCATTGAATTTCTATTGCATATATCTGGTGTTTTTGAGCCATGGATTTGCAGATTGACTGATAGGTTAACACTCTTTGGCTTGGCTAATTTGGCTAATATCTCAGTTTGAAAAATGCATCTGGACACAGTATCAGCTTTTTTGTTTCACCTGGCTGCCAATTTCTGATCTTCTGCTAACATCATTTGAGGAGTCGCCTGAAGCGTGAGAGGAATGGGAGACAGAGGAATACAGCAGAGCTAAGGCCAGTGAGGACGACTGGCTACTATTCTGAACTTAGTGTGGTGAGCGTTCTAGCGCCCAGAGCTGCTGCGGCGTCACCCAAGTGCGTGCTACACAGAGTGGAAGAGGGGAAGTCCAGTGGATATAAGAGTCAGGTTGGTTCCCAGACTTGCCCTCTACAAGATCATCAGCAGACTCCATCACCATCATCTACCATCCTCTGACCAGCTCTCTCTGTTCAAACCATAAACTGACCGTCTCCATCTTCGCAGGATGCAGCTTTCAAAGACTTGTCCTCTATTGGTTAACCTGTCATGATATATTGCTTGTTTGTTTATTGCTCATGAAGCGATTTGAGATTCTATGAAAAGCGCTATAGAAATGTAATAAATTATTATTATTATAGGCTATTTTAGTTAATTGAATCGGTCATAAAAATACATTTCGGGTAAGAGGATGTTTGGATTAATGAACAACTCCATATATGGAAATAAATGACAGTTTCACATTTTCGATGTAACATAGGCCTAATGTGTAAACTTCACAGAAAGTCTGGGGTGGTTTTAGAAATAAGGATATGGTCCGCTTCCCCCTTAAACACACAAAAATGTCAATATGCCTCAGATATCACTTCTGTGTTGGTCAGGGTTGATAAAATCTCGCTCTGTGTGTGTAGCCTTGGGAGCGATAAGATATGGATAATTGGTTTGAGCATAGATTTGAGCATAGAATAAATACTTTTTGATAGGATGAAGGGAAAAAAAGGCTGCCCTGGCCCTTTTAAGTCCATTATTGAAAGTCAATGTATAGCCAAAGAGTATCTATTATATTGACAAGATGGTTGAGTGACCGCTTTAACAATGGAAATACATGTCCTCAAAGATGGAAGGGAGGCGAGATCAGGTGTCACTATTCTAGCCAAAGACAGGGCAAATACGCGTGTGAATGACCAACACAACTCCAATATAAAGTTGTTGTTTTTTCTTCAAGGTTTCCGAAATCCCACATGTGTTACTGATACATGCCAAGATGTACATTTTTCTCTCAGCTTTTGTTGTTTTCTTTATATTTGCGTGAGATCATTTCATTTTTATGCTTTTACTGTCATAATCTGTCATCATGTTTGCTATCATTGCGCAACTGTTGAACCCAAAGTACCCCCAAATCCATTTTTGTTGTTGTATATGTAGTGTTGAGAACAATGCTGAGATGCTGTGATGACAATGAATCCGCTGACACTGTCCTCGATTGTAATTATTTATTACATTGAAGATCTCAGCGCCAATTTACAGACTTCTGCAGACATCTGGAGAACAACGGCCCAATCTCTTAATATGTTGTTCTCCCCTCCTTTGTCCCAAACCATAGTATCTATATCTTATGTAACCTGATATGGGTGTTTTCCCCCACAGACCAATCCCAGGACTCCATATAACAGACTTCCTCTGTTGTAGGGTTCTCCTATAGAAATGCATCCAGATGCTTCCACAAGCTGAGTCAACTTCCTCTAACACCATTTACAAACGTCAGCAAAATTGTAAATTGTCTAGACACTACATATAAAAACAGCTTTCCACATTTCTCATTTGTAATTTCGACTGCAATGTAATGTAAATCCCGCGTTCACGTACTATCCGGAACTAGGAAACTCGGAAATGTCCGACTTGCTAACTAAGGGGTGTCAAACGTATTCCATGGAGGGCCTAGTGTCTGCATGTTTTAGTTTTTTCCGTTCAATTAAGCCCTAGACAACCAGGTATAAGGAGATCCTTACTAATTAGTGACCTTAATTCATCAATCAAGTACAAGGAAGGAACGAAAACCCGCAGAAACTCGACCCTCCGTGGAATAAGTTTGACACCTGTGTGCTAACTGATTGTAGTTATACATGTGCCACGTTCAACCAGTTAGCTTTGTCGGAAATTTCCGAGTTTCTTAGTTCTGACTATCACTTCTGAACGTGAACGCAGCAAAAGTACACAAGAACCCCCCCACACCCCCTCCCCGTCATAAACTATACATTTCCTCTATGGTGTCAGGTGGGCTGCGCCACTAGTTGTGCGCAGAACAACACGAACGCTGAATTTACTTCCGGAAACCAGCGTCAAATAGTCTGGTCAAAAATACTGCTGATCCATTTTATTTGGAAAGGATACAGGCAGCATCCAAGACCTCAAAGGCACTAGTTGACATCCAAGCTTTTCCAAGGTATGTGTATTGGGTATGTCTTTGCGATGCATTTTGAAATCATATGGTTGACAGCTCGTCTGTTGTACTACATTACTGTCTATGGCGAACCAGCTCAAAGTCGACTGATCAAAGTGCAGATTTCTGGTTCTCTCTTAATTAAAAAAAAAAATATGTTTGCCCTGTTAGTTTTCGTTATTACACTTAACGTTGTTTTATTTAACTATATCATAATTAACATTGGAAGAATGTAATCCCTGACATCGCGCATCCATGCTCAGCAGAGTACTCAACTGTGCCAACTCTCGAACAGGTCAATCTGCAACACATTGCGATTCGCGTCAACCTATGTTTATGTTTGGGGCTTTTGTCTTGCTATAGACACAAACAAGAGCATGTGAACTTTCCAGAATGTACGTGGCCGGTCAAAAGACCCCACCCCCCACCCGCCATGTGTCCATCTGACTGTTGCGATTGAGTGGGAACAGTGAGTCAGAGTGGAGTTTGAACCAACGACACGGCGCTACTGTGCCGAAAAGGTCCTCCAGACCCCTTGACACACACTTTGAACACATGTATGATCAGCCTATTGCTGTCATTCGACCAAGTGGTGCCACATCCATCCATATATATATATATCCTTCCTGTGCATTGGGATTAAGGTTCAGTTCAGCTCTGGTCAGTAACAGATGGGCCTCAGCCACACAGAAAAGGGCTGCACTGTAGTTATACAATCATCAACAGATAGCCAGTTCATAGTCAACAATGTTATACTCAGGGCCCTGTTTATGATGATGGCATCCACATGATGCTTTTTGGAGCTTTCAGAGAGAGCATGGGGGGAGTGGATACAGCAAACTTGCCTTGGACATCATCATCATCATCACATCGATTTACTCATCTACATGTCTGTTTTCACAGCAATATGCCAAGTTCCCGTTTCATATTAGTGTGAGAGTGCCGCCTGTGAAACCATGACAACTTCTAGTCTAACTGCATTTTTCATTCTGAAGCTAGCCTTGCTTGCTGCAATGGGAATGTCTGGTATACAAAAGATTACAACCAGCATGACCAATATCGGTTGTTTGGTAGCATAGACATAGTAGCCTACTTCTATTCTATAAAATGGTAATTCAACAGCCTGGGGGCCTGTCTGTTGCTGCTATAGCCAACTTATCTAGCCTAACACAAGGCATGGCAACGATGCACTGTATGTAATTGATTGCATCAATGTTGACAGCAGAAACAGTGATGGGATTGGATAATATGTTATTGGTGAATACAGGCTGAGGTGAAATAGCTCATTGTTCTAACTGACAACTGTTCCTGATCCGCCCTGTGTGGTGTGTTAGTATTGTAACACCTAGCCTACAGTGGCCGAACATTGATAAGGCTGGGTATTGATCGTAACACCTAGCCTACAGTTGCCGAACATTGATAAGGTTGGGTATTGATCGTAACACCTAGCCTACAGTTGCCGAACATTGATAAGGCTGGGTATTGTTGCAACACACTACTCAGAGGGATGATCGATTCAAATCACAAAGTAGGCGTTATGTAACTCCTTTCCTACAAAATGCTTAGCTTTGTTTTGAAGAGCAGATCATGAGAAAAAATGGAAAACTGAGCCTAGTGCTCACTTAAAATAATAAATGTTGATTACATTTGGCTGTGTGTGTCGTTGTGTATTTCTGTGGTGAGCAGGGCGGCTCGGTAGTGAGAGCATATCGTAGAGCCTGTTCCAGCCTCCCCACCCCTCACATGTAGCAGCCAACCTCTCCATGTGATCACACACGCCTTCCTGTTTTAAAGGCACAGCTTCCCAATATCCATAGCAATGTGCATATTGCCATCTAGTGCCACTTTAGGCAATACAATGCTCTCTAATGTCAAACTAATGTCCATATTTCTGATCGCTTCCTCACTAGCGCCTTTTTTTTTTTCAGTTCCCCCTCAGCCCATCCATCTCAGGCAGCCCAACCCAGCCCAGGCCAGCCCAGCCCAGCGTCGTCATGTCAGGCCCCAGGAGAGACGGTGATCTGGAGTCGGACCACGCAGTAGACTGGTCCATGATGGACATGCGGCTGGACTCGTTCCGGGGTTCCCCCCTGGCCCAGCAGGTGTCAGCGGAGAGGTTGGCCCGCGCTGGGTTCTACTTCACAGGACAGGCCGACAAGGTGCGCTGCTTCAGCTGCCACAAGACTGTAGAGAACTGGTGTGGAGGGGACACACCCGTGGAGAGGCACGCAGAGGTGTGGATGATGACGTGTGCAAAACATTCCTGTTTTTAAAAACATTCTCATGTATCTACCAAATGATCCTACTACTGTTGCAATGTTTCAGGTCTCCCCCACTTGTAAGTTCCTGAGCTGCACCCATCGTTCCAGGGTTAACTCTCTTCAAGGTGCCATGCTGACCAACGAACCCCCCTACAACGAAGACGCTGAGGACATGGAGTTCCGCCTGAGGACGGGAGAGGTGGTGGATGATACCACCTACCCCATGGCCCCGCACATGGCCAGCGAAGACTCCCGGTTCAACACCTTCGGCCCGTGGCCCTCCACATCCCCGGTCCGGCCTAGAGAGCTGGCCCAGGCAGGGCTCTTCTATCTGGGGGAGAGCGACCGGGTGCAGTGCTTCTGCTGTGGAGGGATGCTGGGCGGCTGGGCGCCCGGGGACACGCCGTGGGGGGAGCACTCCAAACACTTCCCCTACTGCTTCTTCATCCTGGGGCATGATGTGGGGAACCTCCCCTCTCAGGGGGGGAGAGAGGGAGAGGTAGGGGAGACCAAGTCATGCCCAGGTTCTCAGGGCCCCATGCAGAGCTTTGAGGAGAGGCTAGGCAGCTTTGCAGGAATCCAGCACCCTATTGACCACGAGAGGCTGGCCAGAGCAGGCTTCTACAACACAGGTGAGACCTGGGAGTGGGGTAGACTAGAGCTTTGGCTGTGAGAAAAGTAATTAAAAACAAATACAATTCATAGTTATTACCTGCTACTCAATGGTAAAAGGGCCCGGGAGGTGGGGACATGATGGAAGGGACCGGAGACGTATCCTAACCAGTGTGTGTGTCTGGGTTGATCTTAACCCAAGTGTGTGTGTGTGTTTCTGTGTTGGTGCAGGAGCTACAGACCGTGTGGTGTGTTTCTGCTGTGGTGGAGGTCTGAAGGGCTGGCAGCAGAACGAGGATCCCTGGGAGGAGCACGCCAAACACTATCCTGGGTAAAAACACACACACACACACACAGTAGAAAGTAAACCATATGCATGCTTCTCCCTGCCACTAATGTTGCGTGTCATGTTTTAATCCAGGTGCAGTTTTCTGCTGGCAGAGAAAGGACAGGAGTTTGTCAGCAGCGTTCAGCTACAAGGTCCTGGCTGGAACAATTCTGTAAGTCTCCATCCTCCTAACCCTGACCTCTAACCCCTAAACCTGTGGTCAAACATATTGAACTGCCCCCATCCTCGCATGACTCCTACCATATCAAAGTCCTTCCTTCTATTGATTTTTCCAGGCTTCAAGTCACCTAAATGGATGTTCAAGTCATGAGACAGGTAAAAACAATTGTGACAAACATTTGTGAAGTTGTACCACTTTCACTTTATTTATTTGAGTTTAACGAGTCAAAAGCTGTGTATGTATGCATACATACACAGCGCATTCGGAAAGTATTCAGACCCCTTGACTTTTCCACATTTTGTTACGTTAAAGCTTTATTCTAAAATTGATTAAATAAAACATTTTTCTCCGCAATATACACACAATACCCCATAATCACAAAGCGAAAACGTGTTTAGACATTTTTGCAAATGTATTAAAAAAACTGAAACCATTCATTTTAATACATTTGCAAGAATTTCTAAACCTGTTTTTGATTTGTCATATGGGGTATTGTGTGTAGATTGAGAAAAAAACAATTTAATCCATTTTTAGAATAAGGCTGTAACATAACAATGTGGAAAAAGGTTTAGAAATGTTTGCTAATGTATTACAAATAAAAAAACGGATACCATTTACATAAGTATCCAGACCCTTTACTCAGTACTTTGTTGAAGCACCTTTGGCAGCGATTACAGCCTCGAGTCTTCTTGGGTATGATGCTACATGCTTGGCACACCTGTATTTGGGGAGTTTCTCCCATTCTTCTCTGCAGATCCTCTCAAGCTCTGTCAGGTTGGATATGGAGCGTTGCTGCACAGCTATTTTCAGGTCTCTCCAGAGATGTTAGATCGGGTTGAAGTCCGGGCTCTGGCTGGGCCACTCAAGGACATTCAGAGACTTGTCCCAAAGCCACTCCTGCATTGTCTTGGCTGTGTGATTAGGGTTGTTGTTCTGTTGGAAGGTGAATCTTCACCCTAGTCTGAGGTCATGAGCACTCTGGAGCAGGTTTTCATCAAGGATCTCTGTACTTTTCTCTGTTCATATTTCCCCTCGATCCTGACTAGTCTCCCAGTCGCTTCTGCTGAAAAACATCCCTATAGCATGATGCTGCCACCACCATGCTTCACTGTAGGGATGCTGCCAGGTTGCCTCCAGATGTGAAGCTTGGCATTCAGGCCAAAGAGTTCAATCTTGGTTTCATCAGACCAGAGAATCTTGTTTCTCATGGTCTGAGAGCCCTTTAGGTGCCTTTTGGCAAACTCCAAGCAGGCTGTCATGTGCCTTTTACTGAGGAGTGGCTTCCATCTGGCAATTCTACCATAAAGGCCTGATTGGTGGAGTGCTGCAGAGATGGTTGTCCTTCTTGAAGGTTCTCCTATCTCCACAGAGATAGGAGCTCTGTCAGAGGGACCATCGGGTTCTTGGTCACCGCCCTGACCAAGGCCATTCTCCCCCGATTGCTCAGTTTGGCCAGGCGGCCAGCTCTAGGAAGAGTGTTGATGGTTCCAAACCTCTTCCAAAACCATATATAGACAGGTGTGTGTGCCTTTCCAAATCATGTCCAATCAATTGAATTTACCACAGGTGGACAATCAAGTTGTAGAAACATCTCAAGGATGATCAAGGGAACCAGGATGCACCTGAGCTCAATAATGAGTCTCATAGCAAAGGGTTTGAATATTAATGTAAATAAGGTATTTCTGTTTTTTATTTGTACTAAATTTGCTAAACTTTCTAAACCTGTTTATGCTTTGTCATTATGGGTTATTGTGTGTAGATTGATGTGGATCTTTTTTTATTTAATCAATTTTAGAATAAGGCTGTAACATAACAATGTGGAAAAAGGTTTAGAAAGGTATGTATGCATACATACAGTTGAAGTCGGAAGTTTACATACACTTAGGTTGGAGTCATTAAAACTTGTTTTTCAACCACTCGACAAATTTCTTGTTAACAAACTATAGTTTTGGCAAGTCGGTTAGGACATCTACTTTGTGCATGACACAAGTCATTTTTCCAACAATTGTTTACAGACAGATTATTTCACTTATAATTCACTGTATCACAATTCCAGTGGGTCAGAAGTTTACATACACTAAGTTGACTGTGCCTTTTTGAACAGCTTGGAAAATCCAAAGAAATCAGCCAAGACCTCAGGAAAAAAATGTGTAGACCTCCACAAGTCTGGTTCATCCTTGGGAGCAATTTCCAAATGCCTGAAGGTACCACGTTCATCTGTACAAACAATAGTACGCAAGTATAAACACCATGGGACCACGCAGCCGTCATACCGCTCAGGAAGGAGACACGTTCTGTCTCCTAGAGATTAACGTACTTTGGTGCGAAAAGTGCAAATCAATCCCAGAACAACAGCAAAGGACTGTGTGAAGATGCTGGAGGAAACGGGTACAAAAGTATCTATATCCACAGTAAAACGAGTCCAATATCGACATAACCTGAAAGGCCGCTCAGCAAGGAAGAAGCCACTGCTCCAAAACCGGCATAAAAAAGCTAGACTAAGGTTTGCAACTGCACATGGGGACTAAGATAGTAATTTTTGGAGAAATGTCCTCTGGTCTGATGAAACAAAAATAGAACGGTTTGGCCATAATGACCATCGTTATGTTTGGAGGAAAAAGGGGGATGCTTGCAAGCCGAAGAACACCATCCCAACCGTGAAGCACGGGGTGGCAGCATCATGCTGTGGGGGTGCTTTGCTGCAGGAGTGACTGGTGCACTTCACAAAATAGATGGCATCATGAGGAAGGAAAATTATGTGGATATATTGAAGCAACATCTCAAGACATCAGTCAGGAAGTTAAAGCTTGGTCGCAAATGGGTCTTCCAAATGGACAATGACCCCAAGCATACTTCCAAAGTTGTGGCAAAATGGCTTAAGGACAACAAAGTCAACGTATTGGAGTGGCCATCACAAAGCCCTGACCTCAATCCTATAGAAAATGTGTGGGCAGAACTGAAAAAGCATGTGCGAGCAAGGAGGCCTACAAACCTAACTCAGTTACACCAGCTCTGTCAGGAGGAATGGGCCAAAATTCACCCAACTTATTGTGGGAAGCTTGAACAATTTAAAGGCAATGCTACCAAATACTAATTGAGTGTATGAAAACTTCTGACCCACTACAATTATTCTGACATTTCACATTTTGAAAATAAAGTGGTGATCCTAACTGACCTATGACAGGGATTTTTTACAAGGATTAAATGTCAGGAATTGTGAAAAACTGAGTTTAAATGTATTTGACTAAGGTGAATCAAAAGTTTGGTCAAAAGTCGTGGTCAAAAGTTTTGAGAATGACACAATTATTAATTTTCACAAAGTCTGCTGCCTCAGTTTTGATGATGGCAATTTGCATATACTCCAGAATGTCATGAAGAGTGATCAGATGAATTGCAAAGTCCCTCTTTGCCATGAAAATGAACTTAATCCCCAAAAAACATTTCCACTGCATTTCAGCCCTGCCACAAAAGGATCAGCTGCCATCATGTCAGTGATTCTCTCGTTAACACAGGTGAGAGTGTTGATGAGGACAAGGCTGGAGATCACTCTGTCATGCTGATTGAGTTAGAATAACAGACTGGAAGCTTTAAAAGGAGGGTGGTGCTTGAAATCATTGTTCTTCCTCTGTTAACCATGGTTAACTGCAAGGAAACACGTGCCGTCATCATTGCTTTGCACAAAAAGGGCTTCACAGGCAAGGATATTGCTGCTAAATCAACCATTTTTCGGATCATCAAGAACTTCAAGGAGAGAGGTTCAATTGTTGTAAAGAAGGTGTCAAGGCTCCCAAGAAAGTCCAGCAAGCGCCAGGACCGTCTCCTAAAGTTGATTCAGCTGCGGGATCGGGGCACCACCAGTGCAGAGCTTGCTCAGGAATGGCAGCAGGCAAGTGTGAGTGCATCTGCACGCACAGTAAGGCGACGACTTTTGGAGGATGGCCTGGTGTCAAGAAGGGCAGCAAAGAAGCCACTTCTCTCCAGGAAAAACTTCAGGGACAGACTGATATTCTTCAAAAGGATACAGGGATTGGACTGCTGAGGACTGGGGTAAAGTCATTTTCTCTGATGAATCCCCTTTCCGATTGTTTGGGGCATCCGGAAAACACCTTGTCCAGAGAAGACAAGGTGAGCGCTACCATCAGTCCTGTGTCATGCCAACAGTAAAGCATCCTGAGACCATTCATGTGTGGGGTTGCTTCTCAGCCAAGGGAGTGGGCTCACTCACAATTTTGCCTAAGAACACAGCCATGAATAAAGAATGGTACCAACACATCCTCCGAGAGCAACTTCTCCCAACCATCCAAGAACAGTTTGGTGACGACCAATGCCTTTTCCAGCATGATGGAGCACCTTGCCATAAGGCAAAAGTGATAACTAAGCGGCTCGGGGAACAAAACATCGACATTTTGGGTCCATGGCTAGGAAACTCTCCAGACCTTAATCCCATTGAGAACTTGTGGTTGATCCTCAAGAGGCGGGTGGACAAACAAAAACCCACAAACTCCAAGCATTGATTATGCAAGAATGGGCTGCCATTAGTCAGGATGTGGCCCAGAAGTTAATTGACAGCATGCCAGGGCGGATTGCAGAGGGCTTGAAAAAGAAGGGTCAACACTGCAAATATTGACTCTTTGCATAAACTTAATGTAATTGTCAATAAAAGCCTTTGACACTTATGGAATTCTTGTAATTATACTTCAGTATACCATAGTAACATCTGACAAAAATATCTCATAACAAAAAATATCTCATAACACTGAAGCAGCGAACTTTGTGAAGACCAATACATTTGACCACGACTGTAAACTTCCAACTTCAACTGTACATGTATATAGCGTAGGGTGCTATTTCCAACACAGACTAGGACAGGCTCAATCTCCTCCCTCTCTCTGTGCAGGGGTGCTGCGGTCAGCCATGGCCCAGAGGGCGGTAGAGATGGGCCTGGAGCCTGCCCTGGTAGAGAGGACTATACTGGCGAGGATACGCAGGGCTGGGACAGGCCACTCCACCTTGGAGACCCTGCTGCAGGACTGCTTTAACAGAGGCCCTGACAGTGATGCAGAGACATTCGAGAACAATGGTACAGTGAGGGGAAAAAGGTATTTGATCCCCTGCTGATTTTGTACGTTTGCCCACTGACAAAGAAATGATCAGTCTATAATTTTAATGGTAGGTTTATTTGAACAGTGAGAGACAGAATAACAACAAAAAAATAAATTATAAATTGATTTGCATTTTAATTAGGGAAATAAGTATTTGACCCCCTCTCAATCAGAAAGATGTCTGGCTCCCAGGTGTCTTTTATACAGGTAATGAGCTGAGATTAGGAGCACACTCTTAAAGGGAGTGCTCCTAATCTCAGTTTGTTACCTGTATAAAAGACACCTGTCCACAGAAGCAATCAATCAATCAGATTCCAAACTCTCCACCATGGCCAAGACCAAAGAGCTCTCCAAGGATGTCAGGGACAAGATTGTAGACCTACACAAGGCTGGAATGGGCTACAAGACCATCGCCAAGCAGCTTGGTGAGAAGGTGACAACAGTTGGTGCGATTATTCGCAAATGGAAGAAACACAAAAGACTGTCAATCTCCCTCGGCCTGGGGCTCCATGCAAGATCTCACCTTGTGGAGTTGCAATGATCATGAGAACGGTGAGGAAACAGCCCAGAACTACACGGGAGGATCTTGTCAATGATCTCAAGGCAGCTGGGACCATAGTCACCAAGAAAACAATTGGTAACACACTACGCCGTGAAGGACTGAAATCCTGCAGCGCCCGCAAGGTCCCCCTGCTCAAGAAAGCACATATACAGGACCGTCTGAAGTTTGCCAATGAACATCTGAATGATTCAGAGGAGAACTGGGTGAAAGTGTTGTGGTCAGATGAGACCAAAATGGAGCTCTTTGGCATCAACTCAACTCGCCGTGTTTGGAGGAGGAGGAATGCTGCCTATGAACCCAAGAACACCATCCCCACCGTCAAACATGGAGGTGGAAACATTATGCTTTGGGGGTGTTTTTCTGCTAAGTGGACAGGACAACTTCACCGCATCAAAGGGACGATGGACGGGGCCATGTACCGTCAAATCTTGGGTGAGAACCTCCTTCCCTCAGCCAGGGCATTGAAAATGGGTCGTGGATGGTTATTCCAGCATGACAATGACCCAAAACACACGGCCAAGGCAACAAAGGAGTGGCTCAAGAAGAAGCACATTAAGGTCCTGGAGTGGCGTAGCCAGTCTCCAGACCTTAATCCCATAGAAAATCTGTGGAGGGAGCTGAAGGTTCGAGTTGCCAAACGTCAGCCTTGAAACCTTAATGACTTGGAGAAGATCTGCAAAGAGGAGTGGAACAAAATCCCTCCTGAGATGTGTGCAAACCTGGTGGCCAACTACAAGAAACGTCTGACCTCTGTGATTGCCAACAAGGGTTTTGCCACCAAGTACTAAGTCATGTTTTGCAGAGGGGTCAAATACTTATTTCCCTCATTAAAATGCAAATCAATTTATAACATTTTTGACATGCGTTTTTCTGGATTTTTTTGTTATTCGGTCTCTCATTGTTCAAATAAACCTACCATTAAAATTATAGACTGATCATGTCTTTGTCAGTGGGCAAACGTACAGAATCAGCAGGGGATCAAATACTTTTTTCCCTCACTGTATGTGTCTCCATAAGGGGAAAAAATTAGCAATGCTTGCTAGTATCATTTATCAAATCAAATTGTATTTGTCACATGCGCCGAATACAACAGTGAAATGCTTACTTACAAGCCCTTAACCAACAATGCAGTTTTAAGAAAGAATACCAAAAAATAAATCACTAAAAAATACAATATAAAACAATACGAAATAAAAGTAACAAATAATTAAAGAGCAGCAGTAAATAGGAGTCTTATGTAAATAGTCTGGGTAGCCATGAGTAGATGTTCAGGAGTCTTATGTAAATAGTCTGGGTAGCCATGATTAGCTGTTCAGGAGTCATGTAAATAGTCTAGGTAACCATGATTAGATGTTCAGGAGTCTTATGCAAATAGTCTGGGTAGCATTTTGATTAGATGTTCAGGAGTCTTATGCGAACAGTCTGGGTAGCATTTTGATTAGATGTTCAGGAGTCTTATGGCTTGGGGTAGAAGCTGTTTAGAAGCCTCTTGGACCTAGACTTGGTGCTCCGGTACCGCTTGCCATGCGGTAGCAGAGAGAACAGTCTATGACTAGGGTGGCTGGAGTCTTTGACAATTTTTAGGGCCTTCGTTTGACACCGCCAGGTATAGAAGTCCTGGATGGCAGGAAGCTTGGCCCCAGTGATGTACTGGGCCGTACGCAGTACCCTCTGTAGTGCCTTGCGGTCAGAGGCCGAACAGTTGCCATACCAGGCAGTGATGCAACCAGTCAGGATGCTCTCGATGGTGCAGCTGTAGAACCTTTTGAGGATCTGAGGACCCATGCCAAATCTTTTTAGTCTCCTTAGGTTTTGCCGTGCCCTCTTCACGACTGTCTTGGTGTGCTTGGACCATGTTAGTTTGTTGGTGATGTGGACACCAAGGAACTTGAAGCTCTCAACCTGCTCCACCACAGCCCCGTCGATGAGAATGGGGGCATGATCGGTCCTCTTCTTTTTCATGTAGATCACGTTGAGGGAGAGGTTGTTGTCCTGGCACCACACGGCCAGGTCTCTGACCTCCTCCCAATAGGCTGTCTCGTCGTTGTCGGTGATCAGGCCTACCACTGTTGTGTCATCTGCAAACTTAATGATGGTGTTGGAGTCGTGCCTGGCCATGCAGTCATGAGTACAGGAGGGGACTGAGCACGCACCCCTGAGGGGCACCCATGTTGAGGATCAGCATGGCGGATGTGTTGTTACCTACCCTTACCACCTGGGGGTGGCCCGTCAGGAAGTCCAGGATCCAGTTGCAGAGGGAGGTGTTTAGTCCCAGGTGGTAAGTAATGAGCTTAGAGGGCACTATGGTGTTAAACACTGAGCTGTAGTCAATGAATAGCATTCTCACATAGGTGTTCCTTTTGTCCAGGTGTGAAAGGGCAGTGTGGAGTGCAATAGAGATTGCATCATCTGTGGATCTGTTGGGGCGGTATGCAAATTGGAGTGGGTCTAGGGTTTCTGGGATAATGGTGTTGATGTGAGCCATGACCAGCCTTTCAAAGCACTTCATGGCTACAGACGTGAGTGCTACGGGTCGGTAGTCATTTAGGCATGTTACCTTAATGTTCTTGGGCACAGGGACTATGGTGGTCTGCTTGAAACATGTTGGTATTACAGACTCAGACAGGGAGAGGTTGAAAATGTCAGGTGAAGAAACTTGCCAGTTGGTCAGCGCATGCTTGAGTACACATCCTGGTAATCCGTCTGGCCATGCGGCCTTGTGAATGTTGACCTGTTTAAAGGTCTTACTCACATCGGCTACGGAGAGCGTGATCACACAGTCGTCCGGAACAGCTGATGCTCTCATGCATGTTTCAGTGTTACTTGCCTCGAAGCGAGCATATAAGTAATTTAGCTTGTCTGGGCACTGTTCTATCAAAACTGGTAATGAGGTGTATATGATAAGTCAAATAACATCCTCAATAGAGCCACAGTGTTTTGCAATTTGACCTAGTTTATCCATCTGCATATTCCAATCAATCACAATAGCATCACAATGCTATTCACCCTGTAGGCCTACATGAGGCTTGGCTATAGAAGTAACAGAATCAAACTGTGTTGGTCAGTATTCTAACTACTTTATTGTGCTCGGTTACCTACCGATGTTTCTCCCCTATTTCAGATGAGGATCCCCTTGAGAAGCTACGGAAGCTGCAGAGGGAGAAGCAGTGCAAAGTGTGTATGGACAGAGACATCTGCATCGTCTTCATCCCCTGTGGGCATCTGGTCGTCTGCAAGGAGTGTTCCGAGGCCCTCGACAAGTGTCCCATCTGCTGTGGCGCCATCGCCCAGAAGATAAAGACATACATCTCCTAACATGCAACCTGGTGTCAGGGATTGTATTCATAAAGCGTCTGAGTGCTGACCTAGGATCAGGTCCCATCTCATACTCATTATGATTTAAAAGGCAAAAGTGATCCTAGATTAGCAATCCTACTTTGAGATGCTTAATGATTGTGGGCACAGGAGGATAACTATTTTTTTTAAATGGCAATGCTGCTTTACCTTCTCAATTATTTTATAAACGCATGCTTTCCTACTACAAAATGTACATAGAGAGATATATTTGAGGAGGAACACTGTAAATATGGATAAGAGAATCATGGAAATTGTGGGGATTTTATTTTCCAATGATTGTTGTAAAGATAATGACACACTTCCTTGTTATGCGATGTATCAGTGAGGTGCACACTACAATACCCAAGAGGAAATGGGCCTCTGTTGAATCTTCATACCAAGATGGGAAACCAAGGTTGAGACTAGATGGAGTACAGCTACGGACAGAATTGACTTTACGCAGCAGGTTAGGAAAATAAGGTAAAGGGTTAGATACTTTTTGTCAATGGCTGAACTCCATCTACCCACAGTTCTGATACTTATATTATTTTTACATTTTAGTCATTTAGTAGACGCTCTTATCCAGAGCGACTTACAGTAGTGAGTGCATACCTTTTCATTCATACTTCCGCTGTACAGTCGTGGTCAAAAGTTTTGGGAATGACACAACTATTGGTCTTCACAAAGTTCGCTGCTTCAGTGTTATGAGATATTTTTGTCAGATGTTACTATGTATACTGAAGTATAATTACAAGCATTCCATAAGTGTCAAAGGCTTTTTTATTGACAATTACATTAAGTTTATGCAGAGAGTCAATATTTGCAGTGTTGACCCTTCTTTTTCAAGACCTCTGCAATCCGCCCTGGCATGCTGTCAATGAACTTCTGGGCCACATCCTGACTAATGGCAGCCCATTCTTGCATAATCAATGCTTGAATTTGTGGGTTTTTGTTTGTCCACCCGCCTCTTGAGGATCGACCACAAGTTCTCAATGGGATTAAGGTCTGGGGAGTTTCCTGGCCATGGACCCAAAATGTCAATGTTTTGTTCCCCAAGCCACTTAGTTATCACTTTTGCCTTATGGCAAGGTGCTCCATCATGCTGGAAAAGGCATTGGTCGTCACCAAACTGTTCTTGGATGGTTGGGAGAAGTTGCTCTTGGAGGATGTATTGGTACCATTCTTTATTCATGGCTGTGTTCTTAGGCAAAATCGTGAGTGAGCCCACTCCCTTGGCTGAGAAGCAACCCCACACATGAATGGTCTCAGGATGCTTTACTGTTGGCATGACACAGGACTGATGGTAGCGCTCACCTTGTCTTCTCCGGACAAGGTGTTTTCTGGATGCCCCAAACAATCGGAAAGGGGATTCATCAGAGAAAATGACTTTACCCCAGTCCTCAGCAGTCCAATCCCTGTACCTTTTGCAGAATATCAGTCTGTCCCTGAAGTTTTTCCTGGAGAGAAATGGCTTCTTTGCTGCCCTTCTTGACACCAGGCCATCCTCCAAAAGTCTTCGCCTCACTGTGCGTGCAGATGCAGTCACACCTGCCTGCTGCCATTCCTGAGCAAGCTCTGCACTGGTGGTGCCCCGATCCCACAGCTGAATCAACTTTAGGAGATGTCCTGGCGCTTGCTGGACTTTCTTCGGCGCCCTGATGCCTTCTTCACAACAATTGAACCTCTCTCCTTGAAGTTCTTGATGATCCGAAAAATGGTTGATTTAGGTGCAATCTTACTAGCAGCAATATCCTTGCCTGTGAAGCCCTTTTTGTGCAAAGCAATGATGACGGCACGTGTTTCCTTGCAGTTAACCATGGTTAACAGAGGAAGAACAATGATGTCAAGCACCACCCTCATTTTAAAGCTTCCAGTCTGTAATTCTAACTCAATCGGCATGAAAGAGTGATCTCCAGCCTTGTCCTCGTCAACACTCTCACCTGTGTTAACGAGAGAATCACTGACATGATGGCAGCTGATCCTTTTGTGGCAGGGCTGAAATGCAGTGGAAATGTTTTTTGGTGATTAAGTTCATTTTCATGGCAAAGAGGGACTTTGCAATTCATCTGATCGCTCTTCATGACATTCTGGAGTATATGCAAATTGCCATCATCAAAACTGAGGCAGCAGACTTTGTGAAAATTAGTATTTGTGTCATTCTCAACTTTTGACCACGACTGTACAGTTCCATGATCTACCATTGCAGTTATCAACAGTGCCTTTTGAAATGATCTCATTTACTTGTGTGCATATTTTCTTTATTCAGACTATCATGCCATTTCCACGTTTTCTTCATATTTCTCTTAATATTATGAAGTTGTTGACTGGGCTTTCCTTATTGGCTTGCAAGTCATGTGTTTCTAGTTAGTTTGCAAATTACGGGTTTCTGAAATAGAAGTCCAGAGGGTTCCCAAACTTACTGTATGTTCCTTAGGCCAACTAGTATGCTTTCAGCGTTGTAGACTTTTATGAATCATTATGTGTGCTCTGTGTGAATAAATAGATGAATTGTAGACTTGGATCAATTTCCATTATTTAGATATAACTGACATCCACTTAATTATTTGATTTAGTTCTGGAGATCACATCCAAATATTGTACCCCTTTTTAAATCATGTGCTGAAAAGAATATTTCCTTTGCACTTCAGTGCAACTCTGGTTTGACCAAGATTGGAAAATAAATAATGTTTAAAAAATTAAAGTGTGACTTGTCTTTTACATTCATGTATGCTACATGTATGCTACTAACACTTAGATAAAGAAGCGCTGAATAAAATAGTTATCTTCTTGAAAGCCAGGCAGAGATACTGGTATTTAGATTAACGACTACACTCTTTGGGTACATCTCAATAGACGAAAGTGGCTTCCTCCCCCTGTCTGCTTTCCTTCATCTCCACTTCTATAATAGAAGAACCAGATAGGTATCTGCCATTTCTTACATAAATTGTGTCTTCAGATTCTGAAACAGTTCTAATAAAGGAAAGGGGACAAGGAAGGAAGGAGGAAGCTTATTCCTCCCACAATGGAATAATCTCAATTAGATTTCATTGACTCCAGATGGCCCTCCCCTCTGACTTTCTCCTCCAATGGATTTTGAGGAGGTGAGGAGAGAGGACACAAGGAGTCAAGGAAAAGCAATTGAGATTCTACAAGTATTGAGCTGCGGCCACACCATTTGTATTTGTATTTTTGTATTTATTAAGGATCCCCATTAGCTGATGCCAAGGCAGCAGCTACTCATCCTGGGGTCCTGCAACATTAAGGCAGTTATATACAATTTAAAATATTACATGACATTATATTTCATAACACTTTACCCAATACATTTAGTGTGTTCCCTCAGGCCACTACTCCACTATCACATATTTACAATACAACATCCATGTGTACGTGTGTGTAGAGTGAGTGTCTATATGTATGTGTGTATGTACCTGTGTGTGTGTCTCTTCACAGTCTCCGCTGTTCCACAAGGTGTATTTTTCCCTGTTTTTTAAATCTGATTCTACTGCTTGCATCAGTTACCTGATATGGAATAGAGTTCCATGTAGTCATGGCTCTATGTAGTACTGTGCGCCTCGTTATAGTCCGTTCTGGACTTGGGGACTGTGAAGAGACCTCTGGTGCATTGTCTTGTGGGGTATGCATGGGTGTCCGAGCTGTGTGCCAGTATTCCAAACAGACAGCTCGGTACATTCAGCTCGTTGACACCTCTCACAAAAACAAGCAGTGATAAAGTCAATCTCTCTTCCACTCTGAGCCAGGAGAGACTGACATACATGTCATCAATGTTAGCTCTCCATGTACTTTTAAGGGCCAGACGTGCTGCCCTGTTTTGAGCCAACTGCAATTTTCCCAAGTCCCTCTTTGTGGCACCTGACCACACTACTGAACATAGTCTAGGTGTGACAAAGCTAGGGCCTGTAGGACCTGCCTTGTTGATAGTGTTGTTAAGAAGGCAGAGCAGCGGTTAATAATGGACATACTTCTCATTTACATTAACATTTACGTCATTTAGCAGACGCTCTTATCCAGAGCGACTTACAAATTGGTGCATTCACCTTATAGCCAGTGGGATAACCACTTTACAAGGTTTTTTTTGGGGGGGGGGGGGGGGGGGGGGGGGGGGGGGGGGGGGGGGGGTAGAAGGATTACTTTATCCTATCCCAGGTATTCCTTAAAGAGGTGGGGTTTCAAATGTCTCCGGAAGGTGGTGAGTGACTCCGCTGTCCTGGCGTCGTGAGGGAGCTTGTTCCACCATTGGGGTGCCAGAGCAGCTCCATCTTAGCTACTGTTGTATCAATATGCTTTGACCTTGACAGTCTACAATCCAGGGTTACTCCAAGCAGTTTAGTCACCTCAACTTGCTCAATTTACACATTATTCATTACGAGATGTAGTTAAGGTTTAGGGTTTAGTGAATTATTTGACCCAAATACAATGCTTTTAGTTTTGGAAATATTCAGGACTAACTTATTCCTTGTGTTGCAGTTATTTCAGTTGCTGTAGTAGCTGACGTGTATAGTGTTGAGTCATCCGCATACATAGACACACTGGCTCAAAGTTAGTAAAGATGGAAAAAAGCAAGGGGCCTAGACAGCTGCCCTGGGGAATTCCTGATTCTACCTGGATTATGTTTGAAAGGCTTCTATTAAACAACACCCTTTGTGTTCTATTAGACAAGTACCTTTTTATCCACATTATAGCAGGGGGTGTAAAGCCATAACACATATGTTTTTCCAGCAGCAGACTATGATCGATAATGTCAAAAGCCGCACTGAAGTCTAACAAAACAGCCCCCACAATCTTTTTATCATCAATTTCTCTCAGCCAATCATCAGTCATTTGTGTAAGTGCTGTGCTTGTTGAATGTCCTTTTCTATAAGCATGCTGAAAGTTTGTTGTCAATTTGTTTACAGTAAAATAGCATTGTATCTGGTCAAACACTATTTTTTCCAATAGTTTACTAAGAGTTGGTAACAGGCTAATTGGTCAGCTGTTTGAGCCAGTAAAGGGGTCTTTACTATTTTTAGGTAGCGGAATGACTTTTGCTTCCCTCCAAGCCTGGGGGCACTGATAGATTAATTATTAATGACTAATTATTACACCCTGAAACTGTGTATAATGTGTGAGTGTAGGACCAGTAAAGGCTATGGCATTGAGCCACTATCTAGCAATGTGAGTAAGAGTCAGGCCAGACAACAAAGACAACTGAGAAACTAAGATAAAGAGGCCTCCCAATTTAGGGAGGGGAGAAACTGTTATGAAAACATGGTGCAGAATATTGTGAGAACGGCAATAACTGAGTAAAGCAGGGAGTAGGATATGTGTGTGTGTGTGTGTATGTATGTGTGTATGCATGTGTGTATATGTGTGTGTGTGTGAACTGAAGGTCAGTAGAGCAGTTTTAGAGTGGAAAACTACAGCCCGCCTACAGAGGGAAGGGATTTATTTTTGTATGACGTATGAGTATAAAAGATGGACTCTGAAATTGTGATGGCAGAATTCTCAATGAATAAATATCTCTGACCATGCAGACCGGGACTCTGGCCGTTACTTAAATCCCAAAAGACTTACAACCTTTTGGGAGACGCACAGAGACACTAAAATAGTTTGTTAAATAATTCACGTAACAGCTTGGTCCTTCTGAGCCGGACTCCAATACCCTGTTTCTGTCATTCCAGGTAACTCTGAAAACCGTCGACGGGCGAATGATACATTCGTAAATAGAAAGTCCTGCCCTTTGACATTAAGGGTTAAAACAGGCCAGAGGACACCTGATTAATGACAGAGACGGTGACGGAATCCAAACCTACATTGAATCTCGGCTGCAAGGATAAGGTCAGTAGTCTTTATTATTGACAACTCACCGCATCAAAGGGACGAGGACGGTGGCCATGTACCGTCAAATCTGGGTGGTGAAACCTCGTCATCACGCCAGGGCATGAAAAATGGGTCGTGGATGCGTTATTCCAGCATGACAATGACCCAAAAACACCACGGCCAAGGCAACAACGGAGTGGCTCACGGAAGAAGCAATTAAGGTCCTGGAGTGGGTTAGCCAGTGTCAGACATATCCCATAGAAAATCTGTGGAGGGAGCTGAAGGTTCGAGGTGCCTTCCCCCCAACGTCCAGCCTTGAAACCTTAAGATTGGAGAAGATCTGCCAAAGAGAGTGAAGCAAAATCCCCTCCTGAGATGTGTGCAAACCTTGTGGCCAACTCAAGAAACGGTCGCCCTTGTGCTTGCCAAACAAGGGTTTTGCCACAAGGACTACGTCATTTGCGCGGGGCAAATACTTATTTCCATCATTAAAATGCAAAATCAATTTAGAACATTTTTTGACATGCGTTTATTCTGGATTTTTTTGTTATGCGGTCTCTCATTGTTCAAAGAAACCTTACATTAAAAGTATAGACTTGTCATGTCTTGTCAGTGGCAAACTACAGAATCAGCAGGGGATCAATACTTTTTTCCCTCACTGTATGTGTTCCAATAAGGGGGAAAACATTAGGCAAGAGTGTAGTTCATTTATCAAATCAAATTGTTCTTGTCACATTTTTTTTTTTGCTCGATACAACAGGTTTGAAATGCTTACTTACAAGCTTAACAACAATGCGTTTTAAGAAAGATACCAATACAAATAACCACCTAAAAATACAATTAAACCCAATACGAAATAAAAAGAACAACGAATTAAAGAGCAAGCAGTAAGCGGAGTTCGTCTGTAAAACTAGTTCTGTGGTAGCCGATGAGTAGATGTCAGGAGTGTATGTAAATAGTTTTTCCCTTGGGGGGGTAGCCTGATTAGCTGTTTCAGGAGTCAGTAAATAGTATAGGTAAAACCATGATTAGATGTTCAGAGTCTTATGCAAATGTCTGGGAGCATTTTGATATCGTGTCAGGAGTGTATGCGAACAGTCGAGGTAGAATTTTGATAGATGTTCAGGAGTCTTATGGCTTGGGGTTAGTAGAAGCTGTTTAGAAGCCTCTTGGACCTAGACTTGGTGCCTCCGGTACCGCTTGCCATGCGGTAGCAGAGAGAACAGTCTATGACTAGGGTGGCTGGAGTCTTTGACAATTTTTAGGGCCTTCGTTTGACACCGCCAGGTTATAGAAGTCCTGGATGGCAGGAAGCTTGGCCCCAGTGATGTACTGGGCCGTACGCAGTACCCTCTGTAGTGCCTTGCGGTCAGAGGCCCGAACAGTTGCCATACCAGGCAGTGATGCAACCAGTCAGGATGCTCTCGATGGTGCGCTGTAGAACCTTTTGAGGATCTGAGGACCCATGCCAAATCTTTTTAGTCTCCTTAGGTTTTGCCGTTGCCCTCTTCACGACTGTCTTGGTGTGCTTGGGACCATGTTAGTTTGTTGGTGATGTGGACACCAAGGAACTTGAAGCTCTCAACCTTGCTCCACCACAGCCCCGTCGATGAGAATGGGGGCATGATCGGTCCTCTTCTTTTTCATGTAGATCACGTTGAGGGAGAGGTTGTTGTCCTGGCACCACACGGCCAGGTCTCTGACCTCCTCCCAATAGGCTGTCTCGTCGTTGTCGGTGATCAGGCCTACCACTGTTGTGTCATCTGCAAACTTAATGATGGTGTTGGAGTCGTGCCTGGCCATGCAGTCATGAGTACAGGAGGGGACTGAGCACGCACCCCTGAGGGGCACCCATGTTGAGGATCAGCATGGCGGATGTTGTTGTTACCTACCCTTACCACCTGGGGGTGGCCCGTCAGGAAGTCCAGGATCCAGTTGCAGAGGGAGGTGTTTAGTCCCAGGTGGTAAGTAATGAGCTTAGAGGGCACTATGGTGTTAAACACTGAGCTGTAGTCAATGAATAGCATTCTCACATAGGTGTTCCTTTTGTCCAGGTGTGAAAGGGCAGTGTGGAGTGCAATAGAGATTGCATCATCTGTGGATCTGTTGGGGCGGTATGCAAATTGGAGTGGGTCTAGGGTTTCTGGGATAATGGTGTTGATGTGAGCCATGACCAGCCTTTCAAAGCACTTCATGGGCTACAGACGTGAGTGCTACGGGTCGGTAGTCATTTAGGCATGTTACCTTAATGTTCTTGGGCACAGGGACTATGGTGGTCTGCTTGATGAAACATGTTGGTATTACAGACTCAGACAGGGAGAGGTTGAAAATGTCAGGGTGAAGAAACTTGCCAGTTGGTCAGCGCATGCTTGAGTACACATCCTGGTAATCCGTCTGGCCATGCGGCCTTGTGAATGTTGACCTGTTTAAAGGTCTTACTCACATCGGCTACGGAGAGCGTGATCACACAGTCGTCCGGAACAGCTGATGCTCTCATGCATGTTTCAGTGTTACTTGCCTCGAAGCGAGCATATAAGTAATTTAGCTTGTCTGGGCACTGTTCTATCAAAAACTGGTAATGAGGTGTATATGATAAGTCAAATAACATCCTCAATAGAGCCACAGTGTTTTGCAATTTGACCTAGTTTATCCATCTGCATATTCCAATCAATCACAATAGCATCACAATGCTATTCACCCTGTAGGCCTACATGAGGCTTGGCTATAGAAGTAACAGAATCAAACTGTGTTGGTCAGTATTCTAACTACTTTATTGTGCTCGGTTACCTACCGATGTTTCTCCCCTATTTCAGATGAGGATCCCCTTGAGAAGTACGGAAGCTGCAGAGGGAGAAGCAGTGCAAAGTGTGTATGGACAGAGACATCTGCATCGTCTTCATCCCCTGTGGGCATCTGGTCGTCTGCAAGGAGTGTTCCGAGGCCCTCGACAAGTGTCCCATCTGCTGTGGCGCCATCGCCCAGAAGATAAAAGACATACATCTCCTAACATGCAACCTGGTGTCAGGGATTGTATTCATAAAGCGTCTGAGTGCTGACCTAGGATCAGGTCCCATCTCATACTCATTATGATTTAAAAGGCAAAAGTGATCCTAGATTAGCAATCCTACTTGAGATGCTTAATGATTGTGGGCACAGGAGGATAACTATTTTTTTTAAATGGCAATGCTGCTTTACCTTCTCAATTATTTTATAAACGCATGCTTTCCTACTACAAAATGTACATAGAGAGATATATTTGAGGAGGAACACTGTAAATATGGATAAGAGAATCATGGAAATTGTGGGGATTTTATTTTCCAATGATTGTTGTAAAGATAATGACACACTTCCTTGTTATGCGATTGTATCAGTGAGGTGCACACTACAATACCCAAGAGGAAATGGGCCTCTGTTGAATCTTCATACCAAGATGGGAAACCAAGGTTGAGACTAGATGGGAGTACAGCTACGGACAGAATTGACTTTACGCAGCAGGTTAGGAAAATAAGGTAAAGGGTTAGATACTTTTTGTCAATGGCTGAACTCCATCTACCCACAGTTCTGATACTTATATTATTTTTACATTTTAGTCATTTAGTAGACGCTCTTATCCAGAGCGACTTACAGTAGTGAGTGCATACCTTTTCATTCATACTTCCGCTGTACAGTCGTGGTCAAAAGTTTTGGGAATGACACAACTATTGGTCTTCACAAAGTTCGCTGCTTCAGTGTTATGAGATATTTTTGTCAGATGTTACTATGTATACTGAAGTATAATTACAAGCATTCCATAAGTGTCAAAGGCTTTTTTATTGACAATTACATTAAGTTTATGCAGAGAGTCAATATTTGCAGTGTTGACCCTTCTTTTTCAAGACCTCTGCAATCCGCCCTGGCATGCTGTCAATGAACTTCTGGGCCACATCCTGACTAATGGCAGCCCATTCTTGCATAATCAATGCTTGAATTTGTGGTTTTTGTTTGTCCACCCGCCTCTTGAGGATCGACCACAAGTTCTCAATGGGATTAAGGTCTGGGGAGTTTCCTGGCCATGGACCCAAAATGTCAATGTTTTGTTCCCCAAGCCACTTAGTTATCACTTTTGCCTTATGGCAAGGTGCTCCATCATGCTGGAAAAGGCATTGGTCGTCACCAAAACTGTTCTTGGATGGTTGGGGAGAAGTTGCTCTTGGAGGATGTATTGGTACCATTCTTTATTCATGGCTGTGTTCTTAGGCAAAATCGTGAGTGAGCCCCACTCCTTGGCTGAGAAGCAACCCCAGACATGAATGGTCTCAGGATGCTTTACTGTTGGCATGACACAGGACTGATGGTAGCGCTCACCTTGTCTTCTCCGGACAAGGTGTTTTCTGGATGCCCCAAACAATCGGAAAGGGGATTCATCAGAGGAAAAATGACTTTACCCCAGTCCTCAGCAGTCCAATCCCTGTACCTTTTGCAGAATATCAGTCTGTCCCTGAAGTTTTTCCTGGAGAGAAATGGCTTCTTTGCTGCCCTTCTTGACACCAGGCCATCCTCCAAAAGTCTTCGCCTCACTGTGCGTGCAGATGCAGTCACACCTGCCTGCTGCCATTCCTGAGCAAGCTCTGCACTGGTGGTGCCCCGATCCCACAGCTGAATCAACTTTAGGAGATGTCCTGGCGCTTGCTGGACTTTCTTCGGCGCCCTGATGCCTTCTTCACAACAATTGAACCTCTCTCCTTGAAGTTCTTGATGATCCGAAAAATGGTTGATTTAGGTGCAATCTTACTAGCAGCAATATCCTTGCCTGTGAAGCCCTTTTTGTGCAAAGCAATGATGACGGCACGTGTTTCCTTGCAGTTAACCATGGTTAACAGAGGAAGAACAATGATGTCAAGCACCACCCTCATTTTAAAGCTTCCAGTCTGTAATTCTAACTCAATCGGCATGAAAGAGTGATCTCCAGCCTTGTCCTCGTCAACACTCTCACCTGTGTTAACGAGAGAATCACTGACATGATGGCAGCTGATCCTTTTGTGGCAGGGCTGAAATGCAGTGGAAATGTTTTTTGGTGATTAAGTTCATTTTCATGGCAAAGAGGGACTTTGCAATTCATCTGATCGCTCTTCATGACATTCTGGAGTATATGCAAATTGCCATCATCAAAACTGAGGCAGCAGACTTTGTGAAAATTAGTATTTGTGTCATTCTCAACTTTTGACCACGACTGTACAGTTCCATGATCTACCATTGCAGTTATCAACAGTGCCTTTTGAAATGATCTCATTTACTTGTGTGCATATTTTCTTTATTCAGACTATCATGCCCATTTCCACGTTTTCTTCATATTTCTCTTAATATTATGAAGTTGTTGACTGGGCTTTCCTTATTGGCTTGCAAGTCATGTGTTTCTAGTTAGTTTGCAAATTACGGGTTTCTGAAATAGAAGTCCAGAGGGTTCCCAAACTTACTGTATGTTCCTTAGGCCAACTAGTATGCTTTCAGCGTTGTAGACTTTTATGAATCATTATGTGTGCTCTGTGTGAATAAATAGATGAATTGTAGACTTGGATCAATTTCCATTATTTAGATATAACTGACATCCACTTAATTATTTGATTTAGTTCTGGAGATCACATCCAAATATTGTACCCCTTTTTAAATCATGTGCTGAAAAGAATATTTCCTTTGCACTTCAGTGCAACTCTGGTTTGACCAAGATTGGAAAATAAATAATGTTTAAAAAATTTAAAGTGTGACTTGTCTTTTACATTCATGTATGCTACATGTATGCTACTAACACTTAGATAAAGAAGCGCTGAATAAAATAGTTATCTTCTTGAAAGCCAGGCAGAGATACTGGTATTTAGATTAACGACTACACTCTTTGGGTACATCTCAATAGACGAAAGTGGCTTCCTCCCCCTGTCTGCTTTCCTTCATCTCCACTTCTATAATAGAAGAACCAGATAGGTATCTGCCATTTCTTACATAAATTGTGTCTTCAGATTCTGAAACAGTTCTAATAAAGGAAAGGGGACAAGGAAGGAAGGAGGAAGCTTATTCCTCCCACAATGGAATAATCTCAATTAGATTTCATTGACTCCAGATGGCCCTCCCCTCTGACTTTCTCCTCCAATGGATTTTGAGGAGGTGAGGAGAGAGGACACAAGGAGTCAAGGAAAGCAATTGAGATTCTACAAGTATTGAGCTGCGGCCACACCATTTGTATTTGTATTTTTGTATTTATTAAGGATCCCCATTAGCTGATGCCAAGGCAGCAGCTACTCATCCTGGGGTCCTGCAACATTAAGGCAGTTATATACAATTTAAAATATTACATGACATTATATTTCATAACACTTTACCCAATACATTTAGTGTGTTCCCTCAGGCCACTACTCCACTATCACATATTTACAATACAACATCCATGTGTACGTGTGTGTAGAGTGAGTGTCTATATGTATGTGTGTATGTACCTGTGTGTGTGTCTCTTCACAGTCTCCGCTGTTCCACAAGGTGTATTTTTCCCTGTTTTTAAATCTGATTCTACTGCTTGCATCAGTTACCTGATATGGAATAGAGTTCCATGTAGTCATGGCTCTATGTAGTACTGTGCGCCTCGTTATAGTCCGTTCTGGACTTGGGGACTGTGAAGAGACCTCTGGTGCATTGTCTTGTGGGGTATGCATGGGTGTCCGAGCTGTGTGCCAGTATTCCAAACAGACAGCTCGGTACATTCAGCTCGTTGACACCTCTCACAAAAACAAGCAGTGATAAAGTCAATCTCTCTTCCACTCTGAGCCAGGAGAGACTGACATACATGTCATCAATGTTAGCTCTCCATGTACTTTTAAGGGCCAGACGTGCTGCCCTGTTTTGAGCCAACTGCAATTTTCCCAAGTCCCTCTTTGTGGCACCTGACCCACACTACTGAACATAGTCTAGGTGTGACAAAGCTAGGGCCTGTAGGACCTGCCTTGTTGATAGTGTTGTTAAGAAGGCAGAGCAGCGGTTAATAATGGACATACTTCTCATTTACATTAACATTTACGTCATTTAGCAGACGCTCTTATCCAGAGCGACTTACAAATTGGTGCATTCACCTTATAGCCAGTGGGATAACCACTTTACAAGGTTTTTTTTGGGGGGGGGGGGGGGGGGGGGGGTAGAAGGATTACTTTATCCTATCCCAGGTATTCCTTAAAGAGGTGGGGTTTCAAATGTCTCCGGAAGGTGGTGAGTGACTCCGCTGTCCTGGCGTCGTGAGGGAGCTTGTTCCACCATTGGGGTGCCAGAGCAGCTCCATCTTAGCTACTGTTGTATCAATATGCTTTGACCTTGACAGTCTACAATCCAGGGTTACTCCAAGCAGTTTAGTCACCTCAACTTGCTCAATTTACACATTATTCATTACGAGATGTAGTTAAGGTTTAGGGTTTAGTGAATTATTTGACCCAAATACAATGCTTTTAGTTTTGGAAATATTCAGGACTAACTTATTCCTTGTGTTGCAGTTATTTCAGTTGCTGTAGTAGCTGACGTGTATAGTGTTGAGTCATCCGCATACATAGACACACTGGCTCAAAGTTAGTAAAGATGGAAAAAAGCAAGGGGCCTAGACAGCTGCCCTGGGGAATTCCTGATTCTACCTGGATTATGTTTGAAAGGCTTCTATTAAACAACACCCTTTGTGTTCTATTAGACAAGTACCTTTTTATCCACATTATAGCAGGGGGTGTAAAGCCATAACACATATGTTTTTCCAGCAGCAGACTATGATCGATAATGTCAAAAGCCGCACTGAAGTCTAACAAAACAGCCCCCACAATCTTTTTATCATCAATTTCTCTCAGCCAATCATCAGTCATTTGTGTAAGTGCTGTGCTTGTTGAATGTCCTTTTCTATAAGCATGCTGAAAGTTTGTTGTCAATTTGTTTACAGTAAAATAGCATTGTATCTGGTCAAACACTATTTT